CCTCCCCTTCCAGCCTCTGCCTGCTGCCCACCATCCTTTGCCATTTCCATCTGTCCTCCCCACATTTTCTCCCTCGGGCTCCCCAGCATCCCTCGTCCTCGGTGACTGCCCAAGCCTAAGCCTCACCGAAGGGCTGCGCAGTTCGCTGTGCCAGCCTGGCACAGGAGGCACGGACCCACGGGGCAGTGCCTGCTGCAAAGCTCTTTATTAGTTATTTTCACTCGTGCTGGTGCTCGGCACTGCTGGGACTGAAGAACCCCCCCATGGCAGGTGTACCCAGAGCAGACGGCAGGAGCAGGGCCCTGTACCCCACAGCTGGTGCCAAGGAAAGGAGCTGAGCAGGGGCACGGTCTGGGGTGGCCACCAGCCATGCAGGGCTCCCTCGCCCCATACTGGACCCACCAGCCTCTTGCTGCAGCTGCAGCGAAGGGCAGGGACCGTGGTGCGGGTGGGCTGCGTTTCTGCTGTGCGGGACTCGGGCTGGAATTTGTCCTCCTCCCTTTCATTGTTTCTCAACACTCTTCGTTTTCAGAGCATGAAATAGTTGTTTTTCTCCCTGAAATCCTACCAAATGGAAAACAGTTGGCTGCTCAGAAGAGACAAAATTAAATTTTGTGGGGTAAACAAGGTTGCTAATTAGCTGATGTGCTGTGCAAAGTTAATTTATTCCCAACATGTCACGGTGCCAACCCTGCTTGAAGAGCCTGTGCCTCGTGGCTCAGGTCGACCCGCGGGGCGGCTCTGGCTCCGGTGGGAGCCGGGACCACAGCTGACCCTTGACGGGACCTTTTCCCTCCCCATGTGCAGGAGGAGCCCTTTGTCATGTTCCGTAAGTCCGACACGGCCCTGTTCGGGAACGACCGCTTTGAGGGTTACTGCATCGACCTCCTGAAGGAGCTGGCCATCATCCTGGGCTTCACCTACGAGATCCGGCTGGTGGAAGATGGGAAATACGGGGCGCAGGACGAGAAGGGGCAGTGGAACGGCATGATCAAGGAGCTCATCGACCACGTGAGTGAGGCCCACCTGCGGCGCGGGCACGGCGGGTGTGGCTGTGCCCGAGGCTCTGCCTGGGGTGGGACGGGCACCTGCTGCTTGCCAGCTCGGGGTGCCCGCAGCGAGCTCCTCACCCTGCCCAGGCTCTGCCTCTGATCACAGCTTGTCAGAAGAGTATCTGTTTGTCTGACACTTCCAAATATTCCTTTGGAGTTTCTAAAAACACATTCTCACAGTACAGAAACGGGCTACGTGGCTTCAGGCGCAGCCCTCCGTGCTGCCCCGCAGCGGGACGCCGGGCACGCTGAGGGGAGGGACGGGGGTCTCCGACAGCAGGCACAGCATGTGCCTGCCCTCGCCCCGCCACGCTGCTGCTCTGTGCCCACCAAACACGGGCCAGGGCACAACACCACGGGGGCTCAGGGACCCCAGACATGTCCCTGGCACCGCTCAGCTGAATCCAGGAGCCGCATCCAGACTGCAAGAGCAGATGCGCAGGGGACACTTTAATTTATTTTTTTTTAAATAAATGCAGCTTATTTTCTAAAATCTCCTGAGACACGAGCTCCCCCAGCAATGAGCAGCTGTGCTCTTCCTTCCGTGGCCACCTCTGAAAGCCCATTAGACACCAGTGAACCCACCGTGGCAGCTTTGACTCTCGCAGCCACC